TTGTGATGAACACGTTCTTCAGATTTTGAAGGACTACCTGCGTATTACAATAATAGCATTTTAATTATTTGCAACTTTCTCATGGTTAAGGGAATCAGTTGTGTGTAACAGTATGGTCAGCTCGGACGTATCTCCATGTCTCCAAACATACTTATAGTTCTTTGTCCTAACTAAAAGACCGTTTTGTATGTATGTCTATTTTAACGGACAGAACTATTTGATATAGAATATTTTGGTTTATGGTCAATATATATATGTATATTATTTCTGAGCATTTTATCTTGAATGTTACATTTTTACCCATATATTTGGTTGGATTCCTTTTTCTAGGTAGAAGGTATGTGATTGGTTATATGATTAATTATTTAGCATTTCAGTAGCATTTGGAAAAAAAGATGTCCTGGATTTTTTTTTCAAACAGAGAAAGATTTATGTTTTTGCAAGTTTGAAGGTCAATGCTACTGTGGAGAGAAAGTACAAAGAACAGGTTCTCACTTAGTGTACCAAAAATTGGATGTGAGCCAGTCAGGCATAGAGACCACAAACTAATGATGTATGAAAAAATTCTGATCTCCATGGTAATTCCATTGCAACGAAGCATGATAGATGGCACACAGATATTATTTAGCTGCTTCTTAATATAGACCACATCTATGTTTAACACTTACAGGAAGAAAACTATTTTTTCTCCAATTAGAGAAAGGTTAAAGCATTGTCAGTTCCATAACCCGTATAGATTAGAAACTCTGGTGAGCTACAATCATTTAATGCATTGATGGGGAAAAAATGTCTCACCTTGCAGGAATGATTGAATCCAGGAAATGTCTTCGCAGCTTCCACCAAACTAGAATTTGGTCTCTTCAAATAAGGACAGGGTAGTTATTTGTTTAATTGACATTGGAAGATTATGCTCAGATTTCACGATGAGCTTAATTATTTTCAAATTTTGAAATAACACACAGATCAAAGATGCTGTCCAAAATTCAGTTTTGTCAGATTGATAACGCAACTCACTACAAAAAAGCAACCTGTATTGGAAGCGAGGACTGCTGCACAAAATGCAACAGTTGAAAAAAAATTAGGTTAGGCAGAGCTGCATACAAAAATATATGCGTTTAAAGGAACACATATAAAAATATGGATGGATTTTAGTATAGACTGATAGCAAACCAAGTTGTGTGAGTGACCAAATTTATAACTGAAAGACTGAGAAACTAAAATCAGCTTTGGGGGGGGGGGAGAGCTGTGTTACTCTACGATAGCAAAACATCAGGACGAGTCTAGGAGTATCTTTTCTGATTAACACATTTTATTAAAAAGGGATAAGTGTTCAGGAAAGCTTCAGAAAAAGTGCTAAAACTCCTCCTGAACTTGACAAAATTTGGCAACCATGAAAAACTAAGAGGAGAATTAAGCTAGCAAATGGGATCCTTAACACGAGTCGTTCAGTGCTACTCCTGAGCATTTTAAAATGCATAAAATGTAGGATGTTCTAAGCAGATGGAGGGCACTTGCGTACATCTGGTAGCGTGGCTCTGGTGGAGAAGAAACCTTGCTTTTCTCACTCTCCACAAGAGGAAAAAGGCTGATCTGAAGCAAGCTACCACAGCAGATGTCTTACAGATTGTTCTCAGTTGTCCAACTGTCTTTGCTTAATCTCACTGGCTGTTGGGCCTCTTACAAATACCACAAAATACAGTTTTCTCCACCTCCCACAATATCTACAACAGATGGCGTGCGAGCGAGGGGAGAAAATTGTCTTTCCTCCATTTAGCATCAACAGACTTGCCCGTCCTTTCAGCAGTTATTCAGGATCCACTCAGGCAGAGTCAAAACAAGGCAATTTCCTTGTAACTAAATAAAGATTTGATGTCACAAAACTCCAAGGTAGGCTTCTTTTGAGGTGGGGAAAGAAAGGGAACCACCTAAGACAGAAAGGGCTCCTGTGTTAGTTTTTAAAATCCCGGAGATGCACCGTATATGTGCTGTCACGCATTCCTACTAGTTTGCTTTTAAATTCTTTTCAAGAGTGGAATGTGGGTGAGGAATTACCAAACACTTTCACTACAATACGTAAATTACACTCTTTGGCATGTATTCGCAATCTAGCAGACTTTTCTGCCACCTATAATAGTCCTTCAATATCTGGATTTCAGTTCAAGAGGCAGGCCAGTAACGAAAGGCAAATAACGACATTGAAAGCAAGGAGAATAATAGAGTAATAGAGTTGGAAGGGACCCTGGAAGACTTCTAGTCCAGCCTCCTGCTGAAGCAGGAAACTCTATACCATTTCAGGCAGATGGTTGTCCAATCTCTTCTTAAGAGCCAGTGTTGGAGCATCCAGAACTTCTGGATTAATTGTTCTAACTCTCAGGAAAATTCAGAGACGTGCTCCATGCAGAGTGTTGCAAAATGTAACATGAGACCTCTAGGTATCATGCGAAACTCAAATCAGATCAAGCCACGTTGTTGCTTAGCGGTGGTGCTCCCTACCCGTTTGTTGATTGGGTTCACACATCTAAGCCAGAATGGGGTTTTAAAAGAGTGTGGATATCTGTACAATTGTTACTTATCCTAGAATCTAGGAGAGACCTAAGGTTTTCAGAACAGCCTTTTAACCAATGTTAATTTGGGGGAAAAACACACACACACACACACAACCCAGAGAACAAAAATGGGGAAGCAACAAAAAAAATAGGACATCGGAAATCCCTAGAATTAATGATTCTTAGGAGACGTTGACTGGCGATATCTCTGAGGTTAAGAAAAAGTGAAGATGGCTGGTTCAATAACCAGGGTTAGGTAAATAACCTAATTCCATAAAACTGGTTCACTGATCAGCAGTATCTGATTGCAAGCGACAGAAGAAAATGCAACAGAAAAAAAAGGCGGTGGGGTGGGGGGAGAGCAGAATAGACAATCAGAGCATGGCTGGCTGGCCCCAAAATGCATCTTCTGTGCAATCTGTGGGGAGGATCCATTAATTCCCTCCCAACTCTATTTAATTGTGCTGGCACAGAGGAAAGGCAAAGGAGGGGGGTGGGTGTCAGTTCTTGCTTCTAACACACAGTAAAAAGTCTTTCAATTCCTTTGCCTAACCACAGACGCTATTAGCTGTAAGCAGTTCAAGCACTGAATAGAATTGGCTGGTTCTGATAGGAGGAGACTTACTGGATCGGCACTAATATTTTCTTAAGTTCATTATCTGCTAGTGGAAAACAATTCCCTTTAAAAACCAAAGAGGGACTCTTTTTTTAGGACCATCTGCAGCAGCTTCTCTGAACTCACTTTCCCGCCTTATCATATTTTTTTTCTCTCCCAGATCCAACGATGGTAATTCAACTCTACCACCGTCCCCTTCATGTCAAACATCGATCCTGTTTCTGTTCTTTTAAGGCAGAAGCAGAAAAGGAAGTTCTGCAGACTTGTCTGAAATGGTATAGGCTTTCCTGCTTGAGCAGAGGGATGGACTAGAAGATCTCCAAGGTCCCTTTCAGCTCTGTTCTGATTGACTGGCCTGCACTGGTTTTGTCCAGCCAAGTTAGCACCAAGGCTTCCTTGCCAAGGCCTTTGACAACAAGGCAGGCAATTTTGTATTTTTCTATCTGGCGCTGCTTCTTTTTCAGCCGATCAAAAATCTTGCGAGTTCTTCCATTGTCTAAAAACTCACTGTAAAAATATTGCAAAAATATTCACGTATGCTTCCTCCCTCTCTTGACATCCTCATTTTTATACAGCCCTTCCCTTGCATACACACTTAGCCATCGTACCATGTCTATCTATATCTATTCCCATATATATAGTGTTTGTGTATGTGTATATGGTATTATATAACCTATAATGTGTGCATTTCTGTGATGACTGCATCTCTTTGCTATTAAAGGAAAATGTGTGCAAAGGTTTGCAAATTAACAACGACAATAGTAATAAGCTTACAGGACTCCCAATTGCAAAGCAAATGCTTTTGAAACAATGTTGGTATTTCTGCATATTAGGTAAGGCATTCAGGCTGGAAAACTCAGACATCCTTACATGTCTCCAGGAAAAAAAATTATTACTTGTGTTATTAAGATTCAAATGACTTATTAGCACGGTATATTTAAAAATGAGCAACACAAGGTTTTACATTTTGAAAAGAATTGTTAGGGTTTTGATTATTGCAATGAACTATACTTCAGCAAAATTCTTTGCTGCAGGCTCTGTTTCTTATTCTCAGCTAGGTTTGTTCTAAATCCTTTACGCTAAACAAAAGGTACATTAAAAATTACAAAGCCTCAAATCAGAACATAATCTTCACTCTCCAAATTTAAAAGCAGTATAGAACTGATAAATAATCAAGGAGGAGGAGGAAACCATTTCAAAATTGCCAAATATAAATTATCATGCCATTACTGCTAGGGCAACTTTGCAGCCAAGGAGCATGGCAATGCTGCAGATCAAAATAAATAAAGAGAAATTCTGTAAAATCTCAACCAGCCCATCTTGGAGTAGTTGAACCTGTAAATTATCAAGGCTTGAAAATCAGGCAAAATCTGGAGCAGCCACTTCCAACCCCTCCGTTCATCTCGAAAATTTGCTCATTTCATTTCATCCCGTGCATGATGCGTCCCACCTGACTTGTTGCCCAGACAATAAACCTCTCAAGAAATTGTGTCCTACTTTCCCAACAAATCATTTCAGATATATTCCTGATCTATCAGATGCTCCAAAGGCATTTGTCTTAATTCAGAAATTGGCATGGTGAACGGAGAAGCAAAAGACTTGGCAGAGCTGTTGAACTTCAACAAAATCAAATCATAAAGTTGAGCCATTCTCCCTTTGCCTTCATTGTCAACGCAGCTTCTTCCTCTCGGGGGGGGGGACGGAAGAGGCAATAAAACAAACATTTGGAACAGCTGTACTGATAAAAGTGCTCCCACATTTGGCTCATGGGATGCTCTCTCAATTGTCCCCAAGCTCCTTCAGGGAATGGCAAAGGAACCGGCTGCTGTTTGGGATCCTCACATCGTGTAGGCCACCCAATAGATGACGTTGACGGCAGCAAAGGCAGCTGGGAAAACTGCCCTTGCGTAGACATCAATGGTATCGGCATCAATGGGTTTGAAAAGAGACTTGAGACCAGTTTGGGGCTTTGGGGCCCCTCCTTTCTTGGTGTCCCCCGTTTCTACTTCAGCTGAGCCATACAAGCCAGACGGGTTTGGGGGCCCTCGGCGGTGCCTGCTGGACGTGGCCAGCTCCTGGTTGACTCCCGCAATCGAAAGAGAGAACATAACAATGGCGCTCTTCACATTGACCTGAAAGGGGAAAGAGAGCAGATAGAATTGGGAAGAGGGTGAACTGGAGATACACCTCCCCCAAACTAGCTAATCCAGACATCCTGGCCTACAAAAGTAGACCTGGAATAACATGGTGGCCTGAATAGCTTAGCAGACTGTTACGGAAAGAGAAACAGAGGCTGAGTTCACACACTGCCTCATGCTGTGCTTTGTTTCATAACCCACGATGGCTGGATTTATAAACCCTAACCACGCTTTATTTTACCAATGGTTTGCCCCACACAACACATACCACATTAAGCCAAACCGAACAAACTGTGACATTTTTTAGTTGGGTATGTCAGGCTAGAAGAAATTAAACGTGCTTTCTGGACAACACTACAGACCTACAGTGAAATTCAAGCTAATCTTCTTCCTGTCAATTTAAACCATGCCTTTTATTTATTACTTATATTTGTTTTCCACCCGTCTCGCCTCAAGGCAGCTTTTGCTGTAACAGAACTTGCCTGGCTTCACACATGACTTAAAGAGACTTGAAACCAGTGGTTATTTTGGCTGGGTGTGTTGTGTGAACCTGGCCATTAGGGCTTGTCAAGCTTTGTCTAGAGTTTGTGCGTGTTACGCAACTAGGTATTAATGCAGGGCTGTCCAACCTTGGTCACTTTAAGACCTGTGGACTTACGTATTAGTTCAATGAGTCGTATTGTTTATGGCTAACTGTATATAATATGTGAGTGCCATCAAAAACTAGACCATTTAGCTTTCGGCCCCTTCCAAGATAAAAAATGAATCTCAGCTAGAGCCTACAGGAGACTATACTGACCTCTTCTGCCTGCCTGTTGGTCTTCAACTTGTGTTTCTGCTTTTTCATATAGTCAGCATTGAAATGGGCAAAGGCATATTCCACCAGTGCAGCAAAGACAAAGACATAACAGATCCAGAAGTAGACATCCAACGCTTTTATGGCCGAAGCCCTAGGAAGGGAAGAACGAGCACTCACCATCAGGGTCGTCATGGTAAGAACTGTGGTTATGCCTGTAAGAAACAAAGAAAAAAAAATAGCACCTAGAGGGAGTATATCCCCCATAAAAAGTAACCCGGAGATCTTTCCACTTAAAAGTGATAAGAATTTTATGTCAGTTCCTCAAAATGGGTAGAAGCAACTTGGCTTGCCTGCTGATCTAGATGGACTAAGGATCCGACTTGTACCGAGATGTTTGGTCTGGGTTCAACCACCATGATTTATTTAACCAGTTTGCAGATGGTTCAGGATATCTTTGCATGATATGTAACCCCCCCCCCCCTCTGATCTACTGGGCTGACTAACTCTAGCCCAAGGAGAAGATTACTTAATTGCTTTTACAACCTTGGATTCTCGGCAGCTTAAGGTTACACATACATCATACTTTCCTCACAACAAAGCTGTGAGGCAGGTGGGCTCAGAACTTCATGTCTGAGTGAAGAGTTCAGTGCAGGGGTGTCAAACTGCCGGCTTGCAGGGCCAGTTGCATCATGCGAAGGCTGCGCCCACCCCAGCTCCACCAATGCGAAAAAAGACCGAGTTTGACACCCGTGAATTACAGCCTCCACAATCTTTATCTGGCACTCTTGTTCACTGTGACACCCCAGCTCCAAAAGCTTTTGTAAAAATCAGGTAAAGTCCTCTTTTACCTAGAGAGACCCGTGCAGGTACAGCTGACTGGCTGATCCAGAAAGAGACCCATGACATGGCCACCAAGAGGATTGAAGGGACGTAGGACTGGATGATGTAGACCCCTCGGTTCCTTCGCAGGTGGAAATGGAGACTCAGGCGGGGGAACCGGCCAGCTGCAAAATGGGGATTTTTTTTTAAAAAAAAAAAATCTTTTTGGGTTGCCCTTTTATCCTGCCCTTATTCCCTTTCCCCACCACTGAATTTTTTTTTCCACCCAATTTCTTTGCCCTCGCTCTCCCTTCCCTATCTGTTAGCATTAAGATAAGGCTTTTGGAGAACTTTCCATAGCTCCTTGGTCTTGTTTAATTCTTCACTTTTAAACAGAGAACTCACACGTGATACTAAACCATGGTTTGTTACAATAATCAGTTGGGATCACCAACACTTGTCCCCACGAACTGTGGACTACAAACCAGGGTAGAAAAAAATTAGGCCACCTCAAGCCATCTCATAGTTAGAATTCTGCTTACCGGTGTGAAACCCCAGTTTTGCCCTTTGTAAACGGTTGCTTGTAGCTAAGTATGTTGTGTGAATTTAGCCATATAAAGAGCAAATCGTGATAAAACGTATTTATCATAACGAATGAGCCCTGTGTTTAAAAGCCCAAGATTTATCTTTTAAAATGCCATTTTACCCATCATGGTGAATTGAGCTCTTATAGCTTGTTCAATCCAGCTAGTTTCCTGTCTCCTCAGAAAATATGCTGGTCAATAAGCATCCAACTATTAAATAGCTAATTACTTCACTTACCAGATTTGAAGTTCATAAGTTCAGTAGTGAATCGATAATTGATAATGGTGAACTGAGCAAGTTGCAGCTTATCCAACCCGTGAATTTGCTCTTGGCTCTCAGACCAGTGGTAGACAATGTCCTCGGAGGAGTAACCATCTGTTTTAAAAAAAAAACCTGAATAAATACAGGTGCATAAAGAGGAAGGTGAAACAGGGTTCACATAATAGGCTAAACCTGATTTGTTTTAAATAAATTTTTGCAAGTGAAAATAAAAGTTTCACCAAATTAAGCAACTACCATAGATTTCAGCATAATATGTCAACATGGCCCTGTTTCGTTTTCCTCTTTCTCAATTTTCCAAGGAAACTTGATTCAAACAACACAGCAAAAGCATAGGAAGTCATATCCTTTCTTTCCTCCAGCTTGGGATCGATTTGTGTGTTAAACTCACAACTCTCCAAGTGCAGCATGCATTCCTGCTCATCCATTGGATACTTGGTGAGATCCATGTCACAGGCCACCGTGGAGGTAACCCTACACCAAATGAAGAGAGAGCAGAACACACAACACTTACATTCAAGCATCTCCCTGCTTACCCTGCACACTTAGGCTAGTTTCCCAACCTTGGCCATTTCTAGGTAGGTGGACTTCAAATCCCAGAATTCCACAGTCACATGGCCATTGATGAGAATTACAGGAGCTGAAGCCCCAACCTCTGGATATGCCTGGGACTGGAAATGCTGGCTTAGAGGAACTTCCTGCCATTTCACTACCCAATAAATACGGCTGTTTACCACTGGCCACAAAATTGTCGTTTACCTGATGCTGTAAAGAATGACTCCATCAGGCTGCAGCCTTATAAGTTTATTCTCCACTGTTACATCATGAAACCAGGCTGACTTGGCATTGACTATAAACGTATCCGGCAGCCAGACTTTGTCCACAAAACGGCTATCCAAGCCCAGCGTTTCATTGGTCCGGTTGTACGACAGCCGGTGGTCCCGCCAGCTTTGATGCAGAAAGACAGTCATCGTATATTCCTAAAGACAAGAATTAACAGAGCAGAATTTTTTAAAAAAAATCATTTAAAAAAGATATTTGTGACAACTTCTCTGGGCCAAAAAGGAGCATTTTCCATTCCCCCCCCCCATTTTGTCATGTTCCTAACAAATAAGCTGCATTTCTAATTTAATAAGCTGTCATGTTCCTAACAGCTTATTAAATTAGAAGAGCAACCTATTTGTCACAACTAAAGATTTGTGAACTAGATAGCCATATTCCACAACATTTCTATGCAGTCTAAAAACAATTGCCATTTTCACCATCAGGAGAACAAACGTGATGTCACCATGGCTGGTTTAGCTCTGGTGCTCACTTACCATGTTGGCTTCAGAGATGTGGTCAATGCTAGCCACCTCGATAGCCAAAGCCACATTAACAGGAGGCCCTTTATAGAAATGACAAAGAGAAAGATTAAAACAGAGACACCGAAATTCATGTTCATCTTAATTCAGTCTATTTCTCTGTCCTAATGCATGAATTAGTACAAAAAGTTATGCAGAGGCCCTGAATCAGATGAGACCAGATTAGCACTGTAGCTCATCTTCGTGGGCTTATTTTAATGTGCTTTTAATTTATAAATTTTATTTATTAAATCTGCACCCCAACACAATTTTTACAACTCTTCCCTGACAATCGTGGATAATAGCAAGCAACTAAAAAGTGTAACCCTATATTGATCTACAATATGTAAATAGGACATCTTTTAATTACTCTGTGCTAAAGAGCCTTACCTCCAATTCCTGGCCTAAAATTCCGGGTGTATCCTTTAATCAAGTCATCCAAATTGGGCAACCAGGATATTTCGATGTTTGACCCGATATAATCTCCAATGTCATTCAGGGCTCTCCGTTGAAAGAACGAAAGAGACAAAAGGGAAGACATTAGAAAGAAAACCAAACAAACCCTTTATTTAGTGTTAGCAGACTTCAAAAGAGCAGTTTTCTGTTATAAAGATTCACATTTTGCTGCGTGTTTAAAAATCACTGTTAACTGACTTTAGTTGGAATTGCAGCTGATGAGGAAGACCAGAGGAAGTGGAGAAAACATTAAATTGATGAACAAGATGCTTGAAAGCAAGAACACAAGGTCTCTGCCCAAGGAATCTTATAATCTTAATTTCAGTTTACGTTTGAACTGAAGGGAGACAAGAGACATTTGTCAGCCTTTGACAAAGGTCCTGAATTAGAGTTATGGCTGGGGGATTCTGGGTATTGTCAAAGATTATTCTGGGAACAGCTTAAAGCAGAACCAAATGACCCTTTTGAGCTGGGAGAATGTTTAAAATGTTGAGTGCCTGTTGTAGGTATCTATAGCTATAGGCCCCATTAAATTATAATTTTAACTTAATGAAAAGTTAATAAAATGTATTTATTAATGATTAATAAATACATAGTAAGCAGTCCTATTTCCTGATAGTACATCATTATAATTAAGTATAGATTTTATTCTCACACAGCCTAACATTCCCCTTTGCCCTCACATTCAAGTAGGACAGTTCCACTTTTTCACCTTTTTTATTCCTAGTTACTCTCACTTCTCCAACCTCCCTCCCTTTTCTGGACTGGAACCTCCATGGGGCAGAGATCAGTCTGGGATTTTTTTGATCTAAAATTACAACACCTATAACCATGCCAAATAGAGTGGTGGGGAGAGGGGAGAAAACAAGATCCGCAGCCCACCTACCTCTTTTCACCAAACACATATTGCAAGCGTAAGTTGAAACTGTGTCTGAGGGAAAATGACTCATCTCTACTCAATTACTCTACCAGGGTTTAATAAGTCACTGCAGGAAGAGCTGCCAGAAACCAAGGAATCTTGGCGGGGTGGAGGGTGCTAGGAGGAGGAAAAGAGAGAGGCAGGGAAGCTGCCAGCACCCCCAAGAAAATAAAACAAAAAAAAAAGGGGAGACACAACATAAAAGGAGAAAAAATTTTTTAGACCCCCCTTAGAGAACAGAGGAGTTCACGTTTGAACCGGAGTAAGATCACAGGTCACCAGGTAGGTTAAGCTCGTCACGTTGGTCAACCATCCATTTTGATTTAAGACCGGCTGTTATGCCCATCAGGAGTTGAATTGCTGGACAGCTGAGCGCGGAATTTCTGTTGTCAAGCAAGACAGTCGTTCCGTAGGTTTTGCTCCATTTTACGACCTTTCTTGCCACAGTTGTTAAAGAGAATCACCGCAGTTGTGAAGCTGGTTGTGAAGTGAAGCTGGCTGCCCCACGGACTTAGCTTGTCGCAAAAGGGGATCACAGGATCCTGGGACCCTGCAGCCATCATCCGTGTGAGCCACTTGCCCAGTGTCCCAATTTTAATCACCTGACTAATGGGCTGCAACGGTCGTAAGTGTGATGAACGGGTCATAAGTCGCTTTTTTCCAGTTGCTCCAAACCAGATGCAGAGAAAGGCAGGGCCCAGCTGCCTCATTTGAAACCGTTCCCTAAGGATGCTCCGCTGGCTGGCTCTCCAGGGGTCCCTCTGGGCCAGCAAATAGGGCATCGTATATTTTGGTCCTCCTCTGCCTCGGCCTTCATCGGCGTAACCCACATTCTGTAGATCAGGCGGAGTGAAAACCACGGCCTTTGGCTGTCAGCAGCAGAGGTGGCGATGACCGCCGATTTAGATGGCTTTAAAAGGGGGGGCTGGACCAATCCCTGAGCAATCAAACTCTGATGGCTTCAATCGCAGAGACCCCCCACCTTGGATGCCCCCAGCTACTGGGGAGCCGTAAGAAAAGGAGCCCCTGGTCGGCAACTGGATGGACCCTTGGCCTGATCCAGCCTTAGGGGGCTCTTAAGTTATCTCCCTTCCAAGTGAAGCTTCGGGGCAAAGGCCTCGCAACTGCGGAGCTGGGTTCAAATTTCACTTTAGTCTCTCTCTCTCTCTCTCTCTCTCTCTCTCTCTCTTATCTATCTATCTATCTATCTATCTATCTATCTATCTCCAGAAGTGGTGAATGCTCCAACACTGGAAGTTTTTAAGAAGAGACTGGACAGCCGTTTGTCTGAAATGGTGTAGGGTTCCTGCCTGGGCAGGGGGTTGGACTCGATGACCTCCAAGGTCCCTTCCAACTTCATTATTATTATTATTATTATTATTATTATTATTATTATTATTATTATTATTATTATTATTATTATTATTATTATTATTATTATTATTATTATTATTATCTATCTATCTATCTATCTATCTATCTATCTATCTATCTATCTATCTATCTATCTATCTATCTATCTATCTATCTATCATCTCCCATAAACAAGATTGTCCTCCTTTCTTCGCTGAGCTCCTTTCCCACAAACGACCATCCCGCTCTCCCAAAGCGGTTCGCTCGGCTCGGGAAAGCCGGCTGCTCCGCGCCACTGGACTAACCGACCCGGGTTAACGTTTCCCGACGGCTTCCGATTGCGCCAGAAGCGCCGCGCAGCCCGACCTGTCCTCTTCTCCAGCGCCGGGAGCCTTCCTCCCGAGGCCGGTGGGATTCCAGGCTTGGCAAGGACGGACCGGTAACCAGTCCCCCCCCTTAATGTAATTTCCCCCCGAAAGCGCAGGGTGGCGCGCAAAGGGACGCCTTCCTTTCCTCGCCCAGTCTGCCCCGTCCCCCGGGAGAGTGCCCGGCTCCAACCCACGGCCGGGTTGCAGCGGCCCCGCTGTCTTCCTCCACCGGGGCGCGCAGGCAGGAGGGCGCAGCAGTGACCCAGGCGCTCCGCCGTCCGCGCCTCTTTCACCGGCCCGCGTTGATCGTCTCTCCGAGGCGAGCGAGCGAGAATGGACCAGGTCCACACCACAACCCGCGTCTCGTCGTCGTTCCTCCCCTTTTGGGTCCACTCGCTGAGGTAGAGGCCGGCTCTCCGTCCCTGCAGCGGGCTTCCCCGCTCTTTGTTCGCGTCCCGACCGTCAAAGGGGGTAAGTCCCTTCGGGCGCGGGCAGCTCCCGGGGGCAACGCGGCACGAAGCCCGGTCCTGCTCCGCGCAGTGGAAAGAAAGAGGAGGGGGGGGGAGAAGTAGTGTGTGTGTTTTTTTTGGGGGGGGGGGAGAGAGAAGTTGGAGGCTCCGTTGCCTCTCCAAGCGACGTGGCACCGCAGCAACCAGAGGCGCGCACGATGACAAACGAAGCGGAGTAGGGAAGGCAGAAGGAGAGAAGAGTCCGGCGCTACCCCGGGTGGCCTCCTTTCCCTCCTGCGTGCCTGCCCAGGGCACTCTGGGCAGCGCCAAGTCAAATTCGAGGGCAACTGTTCTTCTTTCACTTACAGTAGCTCTCCCTCCTTCCCTCGCTGGTACCTCCGCTAGAAAAATGAGACGAGGACTGCCACTTTAAATATTTCTTTTTTTTAAAAAAAAGAACCCAAGCACAGAGCTGCTGGCCGAAAATAAACCCCTTCGGAAATTACAGATTTTGAGTGTTACCAAAGCAGCACAACAGCTGGAGGAGGAGGAGGAGGAGGAGGAGGAGGAGGAGGAGGAGGAAGCACGTTTACACGTGTTCCCCCGAGAGCCTAGATTTAGAAAGGGAGATGGAGAGACAGAGGGAAGAGGAGAGAGAAGAGAAGAAAAGGGGAGGACGATGGAAAGGCTACAAAGGAAGGCAGGCAGGCAGGCGAAGTGCAAAAGAAGGGAGGAAGGTCAGTCCATGGAGATGAATCGCGGAGAAAAGGAGATAGGAGAAAGAAGAAGGACGGGCAGCATTTCTGGAACACAGAAAGAAATCAAAAGACAAGTGCAGGGCTGAGAATGAGCAGAGAAAGGTCAAGATGAGTTCTTCCTTCTTTTCTCCTATCTCCTTCTCTTCCCCTCCTCTCTCCTCCCCATCCCCATTTCCTATCATCTTCCCAATTGGGCAGGGGGGGGGCAGGAATAACTCAGAAGGCCCAATCGCTGTGGGGATGAGCATTTTAAGAGATTTCTGCCAAATCTCTTAAGATAACCTTCGGTGGCTGCAGTTCAGTGAACTGCCGAGCCATGCTTAATAGAGTCTAATTTCCTGGGTGCCCAGCAACATCCTGAGCTAAAACTAACTTTCTGGACCCACAACATCTAGGGCTAAGTTGCGATTGGTTAGCTTGTAGCTTTGAGGCAAGGCAGCTGAATCGCACGCTTGTCAGTCTGAATGCTAAGGAAAAGGGACAGGACTGAGAGATTTCTGCCAAAGTCTTGGAACTGCGTAACCTTTGCAAATGATTACCCCAAGGATATGTTTTATTTGTTTTTAATAATGCTGGAAAGATTCAATGGGACAATCACTTTCATCCCAAGCTACTTCGTAGGACTGTTGTTTGTCAGGAAAAATAGAAGGAGCGTTGTATATGCTGCGCCTTTTGGCATAGTTTCAGGAATTATTGCAGTGCATTCTGTGTCCTTTTTTAAAAAAAAAATGTTGGGTGTATAAGAAGGCAGGATCAGAAACCCCAGATATCAAAAACAGTCATGGTTTGAGTTAGCCATGAGGACCTCCGTTCACACATTACATCAAGCCATAAACCTTGGTTTGCAAATGGCAGTTTGTACGTCCTTGCATTGCAGTAATCCAAAACTTGACTTGACTTACGACCACAGCTGAATCCAAAATTTCCATCAATAAGCGAGACAGTTTTTATGTGAGTTTTGCTCCATTTTACAATCTTTCTTGCCACAGTTGTTAAGTGAATCTTTGCAGTTGTTAAGTTAGTAACATGGTTGTTAAGTGAATCTGACTTCCCCGTTGACTTGGCTTGCCAGAAAGTCGCAAAAGTTGATCAAATGACACCGTCATAAGTATGAGCCAGTTGCCAAGAATCTGAATTTTGATCATGTGACCATGGGGATGCTTGAATGGTCGTAAGTATGAAAAATGGCCATAAGTCACTTTGAACAGTCACTAAACAAACTGTTGTAAGTCAAGGACTACCTGTAATAGCTTAGCATGTGTGAATTGCGTGAGATATCCCATCCTCCACTTCGTTTGAACTCACCCACGTGTAACCCCTAATGAGAGAATCTTAGCCTCTTCAGAGAAATGGTTTCCATCCCTAATTTTAGGTTCAGTGGCCCACTGAACCGATTAGCATATGGTTCAATGGGCCACAGAAATCAGGAAAAAAAACAGATTAAGCCATGTAAAACCTAAACTGATAGGAGACTGAGCAGTCCACTTTCTTTTGTTTTAAGAAGGGCACTTGACCAATATTATTCTGGTTGTTTTTTTTAATCCAGCTTTTATAATGGGAGGAACTGTGGCCTCAGCTGAGGATTTCATGCGAGTGTTGGGAAAGTTAGAGCAGATGTGAGCTCACTCGATAAAATAAACTAATAAGGGGGATGAGTTGCATCTGGCAGACGCTGGAAAGAACTCATTGCCCCCTGGGGGGTCCTTTGTTTCAGCCAAATAAACCGGAGTCACACCTCATAAGTCATTTTGGGGCGCTAGAGTCAAATCTACTTCAGTTCATTGTCTTCTAAATCTTGTAAGAAGCCATCGGGATAGTTGGCCGGTTGACTTTAGGATCTGTCCCTTCTGAATGCATGTACGATTAAGCCAATGCCTGAAAGTTTCATTTCTTCCTTTATCGGCCAACTTCCCTTTCAAAGTTGTTTCGGGGTGCCATTGAAAATACCTTCCTCGTAGCCAGCCTTCCTAGCCTGCCTGACCAAACAGTTTTAAAGTGCCTTTTAATTAAAGGTACCGATAAACGGGAAGCAGAATTCTGCGAAGCCAAGCATCTTGA